AAAGACGTTTTAACAAGTTTTATTAATCGTTATAGACCATGAGTAATGCTTTAGTCATCTAAATGTCATGAAATGTTTATTATGTGAATAATTTATAATGAAAATATGATCGAGTCAATATACAATTCATAATAGTACAATGTTTTCAACCAAGTCCTATATGATTATGTCATAGAAGATAGAACTACTTATGTAATGAAACTCAACAAACCACGAAGAAGTTTACTTTACAAAGATATATGATAGTTCGTAATTATTCTCTTCAAATATACCAAATAACCATCTAAAACTACAAAAATCTTGAAAAATTTCAGTTCAAAAAATGTTTTTCGTTTTTTCTCAATTTATGATTTTTTGACCTTGGTACAAGGATTTCTCAGTCCAGGCTCAGTAAATATATTTAAATTTTTTTTGTGTTTGAAAGAGCGCGTCGAGATGCAGATCACTATAGAGTCTTTTTTTTAATTAAACTTTGTTTTTATTGGGTGTACGCATATAGACACTCATTTTTGGCGCTTTTTTTGGGTCATTGAACTTGTAATCCCCTTTTTCCGCTAAAAAAGTAAGCATATAAAAAAAAGGAGTCTACAGTGACCTGCATCTCGACGCGCTCTTTCCAACAAAAACAAAATTTAAATATATTTACTCAGCCTGGACTGAGAAATCCTTGTACCAAAATGAGCTATTTTTGACCCTTGTTTGGTTTATATCTCTGTTAAATCCCAGTGAATCGAGCTGAAAATTTTACCACATCCTCCCCACTTCAGCCCCAACATATGCTCAAAATTTTAGCCCATTTGAACGTTTCTGGGCTGAGATCGATTTTTGAGGGGGGGGGAGGGGGGAGGCTTAAATTTGCTCATGTTGAAGAAGTTATTGATTTACTCGATCATGTTATCCTTGAACAATATCAAGCACAAATTGGTGCTGCATTGCGACCAGCTTTTTCACAAGATACATCATCACATGTAACAACACAAGCATGTGATGTATGTAGTACATGGATATCAAGTGGTGTTGCACATGATTTAAATGATCTCCGACGTGTACACTAATTATTAGTATCATCATTACAAAAATTTACTTCAATACAACAACATAAAAATGATACATCAATGATTTATAGTGAAAATGCATTAACAATTGAAAATTTAGCTGTGCTTCGTGCATGGGCTGATGTTTATAATGTTGCAACAATACGACAAAATGAAGAGAAAACTAATAATCAAAATAGTTATTTATTAATTCATGTACAGTCAGAATTATATGTTCTTATACATCATTGGCTTGCAGCATTAACTGATTATGCTTTTTTAATTTTACCAAATGAATTTGGTGGTGGAACAGATGAAAATTCACATGATGGAAATTTTTATTCAGCGGAATCAAATCTTGATTTAACGAGAATAATTTATAAAGCAAATTGGGCATCAATTATGCAAGCAACAACACAATGGCTTGGTAAACATCATTATGAACATAAAACATTAGCTGCTAATCAAAAACTTATTGGATATAGACAAAGAGATATATCAATGACAAAATTTATTACATCAACATTATCAAATAAAATAAAAACATTTCCAGAAAAGAAAAAAGATATATTTGCTATGTTATTAGGTTGTTGTGTTGAAGCTTCATCAATTTCGATTTCGAAACAAACAGATGAAACTATTGAAGCTATTTTATCTTCATTAATTAATTTACTTCAATCAGAAATGGCTGCAAGTCAGATAACTATGGTTGCTTTTATTGAAATACTCAATGTTCTTCAACGATAATCAGAAGTATTTTCTCTTCGGATGGAGTAATATAGCACTTGAAGGAAGCAAATATTTAGCTTCGGAAGGATAACCGGAGTACTTCAGATCAACGATATTACACGCCTGACATTCACTGATATGTCCTGTTAATAAGTCTCTGATAGAGATGTAGGGGATCGATCGCGCCCAAGTTAATCTTGCCAGATCGGATCCCATCGGATTCAAATGATTTCAGGCGGATCTATGTTGGAATTTTCGGATTCTGGCGGACAAACTCCGGACCGGAATTCGATCACAGGATTGCTTGTCCTGGGCGGTTCCGATGATCGGAATCGGATCCAAAAAATAAAACTTTGCGGAAACCGAGATCGAGATCACGAGAAAGGGAAGTTGATAGGACTGTGACTACGAGAAAAAAATTTGTCGGAGTCGAAACTAAAGATTGTACTTAAATGTTCGATATTTTTATGCGAATTATCTTGAATTTAGAAGGATGGACTAAAACACTGATATCTATCGACTGAATAATGAAAAGACGAGTATTCAAGAATTTCTTTCTCTTGGCCGACATGAAGACTGGAGCCCGGTGATTGTTTTAATTTTAGTCGAAAGGTTGAAGATGAAAGTGTATTACATCTTCATCTTCATCCCTCACCACAGTTAGGATTAAAACACTAAAATTACCGGAGCCGAGATTGAAAAAACTTGATCCCGCACATCTATAGTGTCGGAACTGGATAAGGTCGAGTTTGTTTTTAAAATAAACTTCAACTACGAGTTCTCGCATCTTTGAAATATTTGATTGAGAGTGTTAAGGATAATCTTGGCTCCTACGGACTCTATCTATCAATCAGGTAATTTGGTATATAGAATGTTATCGATCTATAGATCCACCGGATAATCATAATTTGACTGCAAAAGCAAATCTGATGTCTGAAGTAGCATCGCCCTTGATACAAAGGATTCACTTTGTCTTGATTTTGTAGGTTTAATCTAAGAAATATCTTTTTCTCTGTTCTTTTTTAGTCTTTATTTTGTTCGTACTGATTTATGAACTCATATACGTATATTAAAAATTGTTGATAAAATCTTTCATATTGTTTCATCATCCCACGAAAAAAAATTTGTTGAAAAACCGCGGTCGACCGTGGTTTTTCAACAAAATTTTTTTCATGGTACTACTTATTTATCTATCTACCTATCTATTTGTCTGCCTATCTACCTATTTATCTATCTATCTACCTATCTGCCTATCTACCTATCTATCTACCTACCTATCTATCTAGCTAACTACCTATCTACCTCTCGAACTAACCATCCAACTACCTATCTATCCATCTAATTACCTATCGATCTAACGCTCTAACTACCTATCTATTTGACTACCTTTTTAACTATCTATTCAGATATGCATATATGTAGTGATTCGTCGGAAAATATGAAATTTCACGTACTCGAATAAATCTCCTGATAAGATTTCTAAAACTATTCTATTGTGTTTTTCTATTTATTGATTTGAAACTGAGTTACAATTTGGTTCAATTGTTTTTGAGAAAAATTGAAAGTCCTGTTATATATGGCGCCACTTTTTCTTCTTCCGTTTTTTTTCAGAAAGGACTGAGCTAAATCTAAAATTAATTACAGACTATTAAATAGAAAAATAGAATTAATTCACTAATGTGGGTATGTGTTCTGAATCAACATCTGCACTCACACTCACTCCCTATAACAGTCTTTCATCTAGTCGAATAAACATGGACACATGTAATAAGAAGCACAAAGACTTCTTTATTATGTCGACAAATAAAAAGACAGCGTAACTGATAAAAGAAACAAACTGTTTCGTCTAAATCGATCTTATTCAATAAGTGCAATTTATTCATTTAAAGACCATTTGATAAGTGTAGTTAATGTTACCCTGCATTAATCCTTGGTTTTTTTTTTGTTAACAATATCAAAAAAACAAATATATGTATAGTGTATATGTTTCGGACAAAACTGAGACTTAGGCAAAATTAAATCTGGATTGGGGAAATTTTAATTGTTAAACGAAATTGAACTTGATTGTATTAGTGATTGGTGCAATGTAGTGTAATTACAAATTTTATAATTTTAATTCAAAAGTATACAGTACATTTGAGATGTAGAGTTCTCTAGTCTTTTTTATTTAAGAGAGCGTCCATGAGGACACTGAGTATTTGAAGCACTCGATAAAAATTTTTTTTTCAACTATTTTTGCTCATTCAACACATCAATGTCTAAAACTACTAACCCTAAAATTTTAGGATCTAATACCCTTCCTATGAAAAGTTAGCCAATACCGACTTTTAGCACTATCACATCTTTTTGGAGAAAAAACAAGAAAAAATACCCTACAGAAGATGTACTAGCTTGCGTTTCAGCAGATCATTGACATTTTTCGTGGTATACATAGGAAGATAGAGAATTGAAAACTGAACAAAATAAACTATATTGATATAATCTAATGTCTAGTAACTCAAGTTTTATAAAGCCAATAAAAGCCAAAGGGGGTCATTTTGATCAGTCCAAATAAAAGTATGTACCTTGTACTGTGCTTCAGGATTAAGAGTGCCCAGACTGAATTTTATATATGTTGTGCAACTTTTTATTCTCTACAAAATGATAAAAGAATATATGAAAAAAAAATTTAGGATTGCTGCAAAAACGGGCTTACATCTCCAAATTTTTTATGATTTTTGATGGTTTTTCAGTAAAATATGAAGATTTTTAGCAGTTTTCATTGCCATGACATAATGATAAAGCAAAATAAATACGATATTCGGAATCAGCGATCGCACAATAAAAAAGACTTTTTTTTACTGTGTCTGATTTTGATTGATTAATATCGTCATGTGACGCCATCTATTTACCAATTTCAACTTCGAATATTTACTTACAAGACGATTCATCTGTCTAACGTTTAGTAAAGACGCGAAATGCGTCTTACTTTTAGACACATGAGTACAATAGACAGTGACGCATCTTAACATTTTTTTCTTTAGTGGAGCAAGTGTCGAGTTAGAACAAAAACTATTAGCCCTCTCTTTCGTTATAGTATCTGAATGACTGGTCAGCTATGTTGACCAACTGTTTGTTTATTTTCGTCTTTCTTTCTTTTTATATCATTCACTTGGGTATATCAAATCCGTTTAGCAGTATTTTATTTTAAACATATTTCCATACAACTTATTCTTCTTGTATCGTGTTTTACTTTACTAATATTATTTTCTTGTAGGTAATTATTGTTTTGTTCTCGGTGTTAATTTTCACTCTGATTCAACAAAATTATATAGAAATAAATAAGTAAGTTGTAGCTATTACTTTATAGTTATTATTGTTTTTAGATAAATTATATATTTCGTGCTGCTCTCTACATGCTGTTGTTTTATTTTATTATAAAATATTTGCTGTAAGTGATCAAGTATGTTTTATGTAAGTGTCTTAATTTTCTTAATTTTATTTGTAGATAATTCTTGTTTTTGTTATATCTGTTTTGCCAGTTATCTTCTTTTGATTCATTTTTTTTCATAAAGATGAGCGAAGTTGATTCTATGGCAATAAAAAGTTTATGTGAAGATCTTCGCGAACAAAATATTTTCTTTAAGGTAAAGCATTTTTATTTTTTTAATTAAATTTTCTTTTGTTTATTCAGTATGGTTTACCTGATCCTCATCCAATAATTGGAATTTTGATAATGCCATCATCAACTAAAGAATTTGATAAAGCTTTTATGTTCATGAGAAATCTGCCCTATAAAATGTCGAGTCTATCGGAGCTGGTGGTCTTCATCAGATAGTAGCACTACTTCTCATTTCATACATAATACTAGATCATTTGCCTAGTCATAAATTACTTCAAATCCTGTTCGAAAAATGTCAAAAAAAATTAACGATAAGATAGTATAATTCTCATGCACAGATATTTTTTGTACTTTCGGCTATTTGTTTTTTCTCGTCTTTATTAATCTATACTTGAACAATTTCTAAAATAGTTTTTTTGTATATATATTTTTGTGAAACTGAACCATGTAATATCCATTCGATTCTGATATTGTATTCTCTAATTTATTTTCTTTCTAGATAATATCTTTTTCTAGATGTAACCATTTGTTTATTTTTGTAGATCATATTTTTTTTTTCTAGATAATATGTGTGTATTTTTTCTACAAAATATTTATTTTTTTCTAAACGATTGTTTTCTAGATAACATTTATTCTTTTTTCTAGATGATTTTCTTTCTAGACAATATTTATTATTTTTCTTGGTAGTGGCACATTTGAAGAAGACAATTTTCAACACCATTTCAAAGTATCATGTGAATTTAGTTTGAATTGAGTTGAGGAAAGAACTTTATCTCAACATACAAGAACGAGCGAGTTAGGCTTTAAACTCGTCCGATTTTTAACATCAATTTTTAAAAAAGTCTCTTTTTCCAAATGTAATTTTTCAATTTATATTTGCGACCTTGTCTAGCGTCAGTTTTTTCAGACTTTTCAGCTGATCTATGAGCTACTAATTCTGGAAATAAATACACTTCTATATGAACAGCAAGTGTTGAGGAAAATATTTTCAATAAAATTGTTTTTTTATTCTCATAAATCTCATTCCTTTTCAAACTTAAATTAAGATTTTGAAAATAAATAAATAAAAAAAAACTTTTGACTTTTTCTTCAAATATTGAGTTAGATTCGAAAAGGAGTGAAATTTATGAAAATAAAAAATATTTTTCCTAACACATATTGTTCATATAGAAGTATATTTATTCCTAGAATTAGTAGCTCATAGATTAGCTGAAGTGTCTAAAAAAGACAGATGCTAGACGCTTGTTTACATTGGCATAAATGTTTCAATCAAGAGAGATTAAGACATGTCAGTGTCTAAAATCGGTTATCCGTTGACACTTGAAGTGTCTAAATGAGACATATATCGACCAATCAGAAACAGCGCTAAGTGTCTTCTCTAAACGAACGAATCGTCTTATTTATACACTTCATGTAT